CTGCCGAGTTCAGCTTCTCTCTCCTGTTCCATCCCTCTACCTGGTACTGTGTTGTCTTCTGCATGACACACATGGATACACCCATGTTGCACCAGACTTGGAATGCAAGAGGGTGGATAAAAAAAGCCATCTTCCTGTGGGAGCCTTGCAAATCTATTATTTTTACATTCTTCAGAGTGATTGTGACCCAAATGTAGTAGTGGTGTATATATTGGATTCTTGTGCATTCTTCCAGAAGCTGTCTACTTCCCTGAGCATGCTATCAGAGTGAACAAATTCACTGCCATAGTTGCTTCCATGTTACGGAATGCACATTTTTTGTTTGCATGTTCAAAAACAATGGGAATTATTTCCCAGAAGAAAGAAAACCTTGCTGCTCTTGTAATCCGTTTCCTGTTGTATTTTGCTTAATTCCATCCATTTTTCTTCCTCCTTTCCTGGAGGGCTGTTTGTATGATTATAAAGTGATTTAATTGCCTTCTATAATTGAACTGAAAAAGGTATTTAAATATACCTTCCCTAAGAAACCAGAGGCCTTCCTTTTGGGCATCGCTGGCCAAATGGTGTCAAAGAAGGATAGAACTTTCTTTATGTACGCAGCAACAGCAGCAAGAATACTCATCGCAAAACATTGGAAGACACAAGATTTGCCCACCCTGGAAGAATGGCAGATGCAACTGATAGACTATATGGAATATAGCCTGGGAGAAGAGCTAGTGGAAGAGGACTGGAAGAAATTTAAAGACTATTTGCAAAAGTATTGTAAATTGTATGAATGTTAGAATGATGCAAGATATAAAGATAATATGGCATTAGTGACATAGCTGAAAGGAGTATGCAAAAAGAATAAGAACAAAGGTGGAGTTAGAATAAGGTTATGTCTAACTTAAATAATTGATAATAAAGGGAAAATTGGAGACATAATGGTTGAAATGTATAATACAAAATAAGATTTGAAAGAGGGTGAAGTATTGCTGAACAAGATTTTGTAAAAGGGAACACAGAAAAGGGAGATGTGAGGAAGTCTGGAAGGAGGGTTATGAAAATAATATCTAAGAAATTGGTTTTTTATGTTCTTTTTTCCATTTTTTTTCATGTCTTTTTTCTTCTATTTTGTATGGGGGTTTTTTTATTGTACTTTCTTTCTTTTTTGGTTTTTTTTTATTGATTGTGACGGTGTTTTTTCTTTTTGGTTGTGAAGGTGAAGTCTGTTTTATTGTCTAAAACTTTAATAAATATATTATTAAAAAAATACCGTATTTTTCGCTCTATAACATGCACCTGACCATAACACGCACATCGTTTTTATAGGAGGAAAACAAGGGAAAAAACATTCTGAATGAAACAGTGGATGTATCATTTTTGTGCTTCATGCTGTGGCCACAAACATGTGATCTGATGGTGAATTTGGGGTGACCCAATGCAAAAATCCTGAGAATTCCTGTGGATCCATGCTTTGTAACCACGTTTTTGCACCATTGCAGCCCCAGGCAACAGTGGGTGCGTGATTTTTTGGGTGCAGGCTGTAGCCATGGACATGCTATGTGATCTGATGGTGAATTTGGGGTGACCCAATGCAAAGATCCTGAGAATCCCTGTGGATCCATGCTTTGTAACCACATTTTTGCACCATTGCAGCCCCAGGCAACAGTGGGTGCGTGCTTTTTTTGGTGCAGGCTGTAGCCATGGACATGCTATGTAATCTGATGGTGAATTTGGGGTGACCCAATGCAAAGATCCTGAGAATCCCTGTGGATCCATGCTTTGTAACCACATTTTTGCACCATTGCAGCCCCAGGCAACAGTGGGTGCGTGCTTTTTTTGGTGCAGGCTGTAGCCATGGACATGCTATGTGATCTGATGGTGAATTTGGGGTGACCCAATGCAAAGATCCTGAGGATCCATGTGGATCCATGCTTTTTAACGACGTTTTTGCACCATTGCAGCCCCAGGCAACAGTGGGTGCGTGCTTTTTTTGGTGCAGGCTGTAGCCATGGACATGCTATGTGATCTGATGGTGAATTTGGGGTGACCCAATGCAAAGATCCTGAGGATCCATGTTGATCTATGCTTTGTAACCACATTTTAAGTGGGGAGCGAAGGAAAAACAAAGAAGGGACATGAGAGGGGTGTGCAGAGAAGCAGCTGGCTAAGAATGCTGCAGAGGGATTTAACGGGTGGGAGGAAAGAAAGGCAAAAGTTCCCCCCCAAGCCAGCCATCTCTCTCTCTCTCTCTCCCTCCCTCCCCCCCTCTCCCTCCCCCACTCTCTCTCCCTCTCCCTCAGCAGCACCGGAGCACAGAGAGGAATTAGAAAGAACGACACTCTGCTTGCCTGGAGGGGAGGGGCTTTCCCTGCTCTTTGTTCCGTTTCAGCAATCACAGCAACGAAACAGAGAAGGGTGGGCAGTAAGACCCTGAGGCAGAATGCAGGAAAGCAACCACTTCCTCTTTTCAGGTTTCCCTTCTCCGTGACTCACGATTTGACTTTTGCTTGATTTTTTGGCTTCAGGGACCACACATTCGCTCTATAACACGCACAGACATTTCCCCTTCCTTTTTAGGAGAAAAAATCTGCGTGATATAGAGGGAAAAATACGGTAATAATTGCCTTCTATAATGCAACTTTTGCCTAGTTCACAAGAAATTAGATGCAATGGACATCTAAGTTCTCTTCGTGTCCCAATCTTTCCAAAGTGGCTATTCTGACTAATTAGTAATCTTGACAATAATCTACAATTAGGTAATAGTGCAGCCTTGTGGGTTAGCCCCAGAAAGGAACTAGCCTAGCTAGATGGTGGACCAAGATGTGTTTTGTGAAATTCATTGTGTGAGGTATAACTTTCAGTGCATGGCATTTGGGAGACAAAAGCAAGAAGTGCTCTAATCCCTTGTTGTTGGCAAATTACTATCCACTATTTTTTGTTAACCTGTAAGTAATTAAATGTATATGCGAACTGAGAATCCTAAAGCTATTACATAAAGACTGCATGAAGAGAATGCTCTGTAAAAGTCCCAATATGTGAAAGTCCCCAGAGTGTAAACCAGGGGTCTGCAACCTTTAAGACAAAAAGAGCCAATTGGACCCGTTTCCGAAGAAAAAACAACAACTGGGAGCCGCAAAACTATTGCGACATTTAAAACAAATATATCTCCGGAGCCGCGATCTGACAGCGGGTGGGAAGGTGATGTCAGGACGGTGCGTGACTAACGCACGCACCACCCCCATGCGACGTCACAGCCAGTACAGCGCCCGCCACGGTGGGGAGTGTCGGGGCGCACAATGCGCCTCCTCCCCTCGCTAGTATCCGCCCCGGAGCCGCGCCAAAGATGTAAAAGAGCCACATGCGGCTCCGGAGCCGCGGGTTGCAGACCCCTGGTGTAAACTAACACCTAATGTATTCCCTAACTTTGAACAGTGTATCCTGGATCAGCAGAACCTCCCAAGTAAATTATCTTTGGGTACAGCTGTGACATATTGACTGATTATGGGGAGACTTAGAAAGCTAGAGTGAGGTTGTATTTCTTTGTAGCAAACAAAAAAAGGCACACGTCTACTAACTTGTTTATTTTTCAGTTTGTAGTATGACTGGTTTGGGAAGGTTTTCAAAGATCAACTAATGCAATCTCTTGTGTCTAATATGCTCAAAACATATCAGTTTTTTTCTATCCCTAGTTCAACCTTTTTAAAAATTTATTTTCTATCCAACTCAACAGTGTACCTGGATTTAAACTAATACCACTGATAAAAATCACATATTTTTCAGAAATGAAGAGTAGCTAACCAAGAGGACACATCCAGAAAACTATTTAAAAGGATATACCCAAGTTATTGAAGCAGGCACTCTGTACCATTTCCAAGACAAGCAGTGAAGCTTCTTGATCTAGTGGTTGGGGGGACAGTTGCAGTGCAAACAGAACCCACCAAAAATGCAACCGAGAAAATTTCATCTGATTGCCTATTTAGACCTTTTTCAAACATAAAATTGTGGTTTAGCATTATAGGCAGTTTCATGTGAGTGTCAGGTTTGTGCACTTGCTTCTGGCATTGCTGTGAGAAGTTTAGAAGCATCCAGTCCCATATAAATTCTCTGTGGAAAAGAAATTCCTCGTTGGGTGAATTGCCTTGCCTATTTCAATTCCTGTATCCCCTTTTGCCACACATTATATGACTTCTCTTAATGTGCTCTTAATTTCAAGTCTTCCAAAAGAAGCAGTGGGGCCAGACATCTGCCATGATCCCACCCTGGTGACCATTTTTTCTGTAAGCACTTTATTACCACAAATACGGTAGTTCCCTTTTACAAATTAAGTCCATGGCAGAGGACGTAATTTTCCTTGTTTGTAGGATAGTCTGAGGGAACTACTAGACCTAACAGGACTAATGCAAAGGTAGTTGCATTTGCAGAAGGTCTGGACTCTGGGCAAGAGCTGTGGGGTACATTTCTATTCACAATTCCCTGCTGCCCCTGCATTTCCCATGCAGCTGAGTTTCTTCTAGTCTCAATTGTACTTTATATTTGCTGCATGATACTCAGTTTTGCAATCTTCATACATTTAAAGACATCTTTTCAGGGACTGTTTTGGTCCATACCATCAACATGGCTAAGCTTTCGATTCAGGTACAGAAGGTAATTATTTGTAATCACCGTGCCAGGGCAGTGGGGAACTAATCCCCTCTCAGTGAAGTTCTTGTAATTCTTCTAGTAGATTGGCTGCAGATTCAGTGGAACACAAATTCCATGGGTTTTTCAGAACGGATTACAGTTGTACTTATTATTGTTTTATTGTTCAGTATGTGCAGTTTCTGTAACCTTGCAAACAAACACATGCATTATGCCAGCGTTATTTATCAGTCACAGGTATTTTTAAGGAGAGGCTTCTTAACACAGTTTTGACACCTTGCGCACTATACAATACTGCCGAGACAGGATCCCCTCCCTGTTTTTGTCTGTCCAGTTGCCTGTGTTTTGTGTAGCAATGTTAATAAAGAGACAAACACTTGAAGACGTAAAGGTTTAATCAAACAGCTAAGCATTGCTACTGAGCTGAACCAGAAATGAACTTAATATTTAATGGTCCAGCTCTGCTATTAGCTGATATTTCCAGTGGTACATGAAGCCATCACCTTGCTGAACCTAAGTAGGTCCAGGTCTTATCAGTGCCTTGATGGGATGCTGCTTGGAAATCACATATTCAGTAACTTGGGTTCTGTGAAGGAAAATGGGATATAAATATAATAAAAATAATAAATAGTTTTCTGCCAAATGCAATCCAGTGCTGCCCTTTTGTACCCTGAAGGTTCTTTCAGTTCAGAGCTGTGGTCCTGTTGAGGCTCCCACTCATTAAAGGGGCAGGGGAGGTATTTTTTGCCAATTCAGCCTCACCACTGTAGCCTCATGCAGCATCTTTAATTCTGCTCCAGCTCTCCAGAGGACATATTAAGCGAATAAAAGAGGCTGCAAGAGGAATCTGCAAAAATTCTCTCCCCTCTTTCCATGTACAGGGCTGACCTCGTGAATTAGAAAACCGTAATCACAATCAGTTAAGTTTCCCATTTTCCTTTTTAGTACTGGATGAATGAATACACTTCCTCTCTCGGAATTGGAGTATTCCATTCAGGAATAGAGATATATGGCAGAGGTATGTATCATGCTTTAATCTCACATTGGTGCAAAGAAGCAACTAATGTACATAGGACATGTAGTGGGTGGGTGGGAGGGAGGGAGGGAGGGAGGAAGGAAGGAAGGAAAATAGCAGTGTCTCCCTCCCTACATTTCACCATCTTATTTCTGCAACAAATATTCTGACTGTTTATTCATGGTGTAGATCAGTATTGGGGAACCTGTGGCTCTGCAGATGTTGTTGAACTCAAACTTCCATCAGCCTCAGGCAGCATGGCCAATGATCAGATCATGCCTCTCCCATGGTTTCTGCATATACTGGCCTCAGCGTAATTGTTTTGGGAATTTAAATCAGTGTTCTCCAAATGTAACGTAAACTTTAATATAAATGTATAAAGCACTGACATTTGTACATATAAACTACTTTGTAGCAGTACTTCAGTTTTAACCTACAGCTGATCAAAGCATGTCTATAATATCACCAGAAGTGAAAGTCCTACTTACAATGAGTTGTGCATAAAATCCTGATTTTGTATTTCAGAATTTGCTTATGGTGGACATCCATACCCTTTTTCTGGAATATTTGAAATTTCTCCAGGAAATGCATCTGACTTGGGAGAAACATTTAAATTCAAGTAAGAAGTTCTTTCATTTATTGGTGTAGCCCAAAATATGTTTGGGTGATTTAGATTCAGACGTCTGTTGACTACAACCTGCTAATTTTGAATAGTATTTTTTGAGCAACCAAATGTATCTACCCACTGCCTCTTAATATGAGATATGGAACTTAATGTAATGATTAGACTATGGCCTGGGAGACTGGGATTCAAATCCTCACTTTGGGCCAGTCACCATCTCTCAGCCTAACCTACCTCACAGGGTTATAGAATGAGGAGCATGTACACCACCTTGAGCTCCATGGAGGAAAAGATGATATTTATAGTAATAAAAAAGTGATATACAGTATAAAGCACCAAATAATTTTAACAGGCCTGTGGCTGCATAATAAATGATTGATTATACATTTGTATGTACACAAATCTGGATTTACAGAGAGATCTCTTGGATAAGAGCAAGGAAGTGGTAGTGTAAAAGTAGTGAGGCCTTGTGGCATGAAGTTCAAAAACAACCAGAGGACAAAAGCAGTGAAGTTCTATTTTTAACACGATAATTTTTGGAGGTGTGTGCATGCTGTCAAGAGCAAACAGGGAATAAAAACATATCCAGTCTGATTTGCAACAACTTTCTCTCTCTGCAACTGCCTCCACCCTCTTTTATTTTAGAGAAGCTGTTGTTCTTGGAAGTACTGACTTCATGGAGGAGGATATAGAAAAAATTATAGAAGAACTTGGAAAAGACTTTAAAGGAAATGCCTATCACTTAATGCACAAAAACTGCAATCACTTTTCTTCAGCTTTTTCAGAGGCAAGTATTATTTGTTCAGCCTGGGCCATTACTTTTATAAACACTTTAGTACTTGTAGGCTACATAGGTTACATATGTAATATTAATGTGTTTTCCATCAAGGACTTGCTGGAAATAAAATGGTAGCAGCAACACTTTTCACTGCCACCTCCAGAGAGGAAGCTCTGTGGGTTTTTAACCCAGCTGGCCAAGTTATGAAAAAGAGTGACCTTGTAAGAGTAATCAGCCATTCTTTCTCAAAAGCAATTGGAAACCTTAACTTTCCCCCCAGTTGTTTACATTCATATAACTGGAAAGAATGTACAAAACTGCATTTTATAAAGCTATACCTTACATATAAATGACTCATACAGAAAACTGATAATTGTAATTTTCATTTGATAATTTGAACTTTTGAAACAGCATTAATGAGTCACTAAATTATTTGTCATACACTTACTCTTTATCTTACCTGGGAGTTAGCCCCATTGAACTGAAATAGAACTTCTGAAATGGCATGGCTAGGATTGCACTGTTGGGGTAAAAAAGGTCATTCAAAAATATGTTCAGTTTTTGATGCCCAGCATACTGTTATTTTCAGAATGGACTGCGTTGTCTCAGAATTAGATTTAGTATTCATTTTGCCTGTCTCACAGGTAACATCAGGAAGGGTTCATATTCACTGTACTATAATTGACAGGCATTTCAATTCAGCGATCTGTATTTCAAGTATAGAAACTGACATGTACTTTAAAAAGCACTGGATAACTTGTGGCATTTCATATAGATTCTCTGTGGAAAAGAAATTCCTCGTTGGGTGAATCGCCTTGCCTATTTCAGTTCCTGTATCCCCTTTCTCCAAAGTTGCCTACCAAAAGAATGGCTTACACCTGCAGCTCTTCAGTCAAGTGTAAGCCAAGAGCTTCAGGAAGAACTGGAAGAAGCAGAAGATGCAGCAGCCTCAGCTTCCTTGCCAAAGTCAGCATCAGGGGCAAGAACTGGACATCATGCTAAAATATAGGTTTAGTCCAAAGTTCCATTACACTGAAGCCTTTGGAAGCCTTGTCAGTAACTGACTTTATTACAGAACTTCAGAGAGTGGCCATTTTAATTTCTTTGGTATGCAATTGATTCTCCAGCTCAAGATGATGGTGTTCCACTCAGGATTTTATATGTAGTGGGGAAAATGTTTATGGGGGAAATGGGAAGGACTTATCGTGGAGCTGCTGTCTTGATTTTCATCTAATCAGCAAGCCTGGACTAACTGAGCAGAAGTTAAACTGTTTACAGTATTGTGTGCTGCTGTTTACAAGTCCCACAGGGACACCTGCCATTGAAAGATAAATTTTAATCAGCTCAATTAGGCCTGCATGACTTCATCAGCCTCAGTGGATGAATGAGCAGCTTTGTTTGTTGCTACCTTGGAATTGGGCAGGACAAAATATTTCACTTCCAACTGTTGCTGATAATGAAGCAGGGAATGATGAATACTATGTGTAAACAGGGTACATAATTGTCAATACAAAGAAATCTGTCCTAGTAACCAAGGAGGTTACCTTAGTATGTATCTGAGAATATCTGTTCCTAAAACTGTGACTTCTCTGTCAGTTTTTATCCACTCATGCTGAGTGAATTAATATTTTACTACAAAGCTGAGTGTGTTCTCTCTGGTGTCAGATTTCAACCTCCTTTTTGCCTCATGTTTTTGTCTGACTTAGAGATACAAAATGTCATTCTGAACATCAACAGTTTCCCCCCATTAAGATCAAATAACAGTGCTGTTTCACATTACCTAGAACTATAGGAGGAATACAGATGAATCATGCAATTAGACATTAACATTAGATAACATAACATTTGGTTCATGACTGAACTCACTTTAGCAGTGTGAGTTTTGCAGCTAACTTAACCAGATGTAAGCTGCTGCTTAAGAGAAGAGTCTCTTAATAGAAACATGAAGAGAAATGGAAAGTGCTTTGTTTAGTTTTCCATCAGCAACATTCAACAATTACAGGGAATGCAAAGGTTTTCTCCAGCTTCTGTGTTCACAACAGAACCAATGACAGCTATAGGTGAGTTACCCAGATGTTTCTTTTAGTGACATAGTTTTCTTAACTATGTTAGTCTAATAGCAACTATCAAAGACAAATTGCATTCATCAAGATAAAAGAGGAATTCATTCTATTTGGTATCTTTCCCCAATGTTAGCATGTCTTCTTCAGGAAGAAGGATACAGTAGAATTAATAGCAAATTGGAATAGGTTTTAGATTTTTATTATACATGCTGCCTTAAGGATCTTGCATTTAACTGGGAAGAGGCCAACTGGAAATTATGTATAAACAAAGGTCTGGTGAAGAATATGTAAATAACTCTTACTTGTGGTATTACATTGCTGGGTTTGTTGAATAAACTCTTCAGAGTAGATGACACAGTCAACTAAATTGGGAGGTATTTTGTTGCTGCACATATTGGACAACCTGAAGAAAAGAGGGCTGGTTAATTTGTTCATAAATTTACATTATGTTCTGGCATATTATTTTACAAATACAATCCCACTGAAGGTATAAAAATGCTATTGTTTCCAATTAAAAGGGCATTAGATATTTTTCTAACCACTTCAAGTTTTTACATACACTCATTTGAGGGAGACTTTGTTGTAAACAATACTCAGGTATGCAACATTATCCTGTTAAAAGTCAAACAATAATAATTCTCAAAAATGTGAAATAATGAGCATGTTCCATATTTTAACCAACCTTTTTTAGTAAGAAACTAAATTATCTTTAACAGTGCCATTATGATTGCATTTTAACCATTCTTGTTTTGTCAGTAGCCAGCACAATCTGCTTAAGCTGCTAGATTTTTTTGATGCCACATGTTTAACCCTACACTCTTTCTTCTTTAATTTATACTTTTTGATTAGGATTCTGAGAATTGTACCCTTATGATTGACAATCTACTCACGATTGCCAAATTATATAAAGCATTTCTTAGTAGAATGACAATGGGATAGATGAGAGGATTTCTTTGAACTGCAGGTGAAGTGGAAATGGAATTTTCCATCTTGGATCTGAAGCTGTTAATGAAGCTCAAATGTTAACAAGATGAGCTCTGATCCAGAGCCGTCTGTGTGCTGAAATGCACACAGCATTCCTCCATTTGAAAACCTCCCAACTTATTTCAGTGGAAGGGGCAATTTGGTGAACATATTTATTGACACTTAAGGAATTATCACCTATGTCGAGGCCCTTGTGAGGACTTATGAAGCAGTTGTGCCTACATAGGATTGCTGGATTTTGGTAATTCTGTAGCTTGTCATAGTTGTTTAGGAACTAGATTAATCGCCATCAAATTTTTATCAAAAAAATTGGCCTTGTTTTGCTCATATTCACAGCACTGTATATGATACACACATACTTTCATACACATCGATAGCATGCAAGCAATGCAAAGATATACATGACACAGTAAGTACAGTCATTTTTTAATAAATAATTTGGTGGATCATTTTGAATACGAGTTCCCTGTTAAGCCATTTAGTAATGATCATAGCCCCATGAACAAACTTACCATTTGAACCTTGAATTTGGTACATCTTACGAAGTGGTGGTAGTCTTATATCTTACCACATGTGCTATGCTCGGTCTCCACTTGATTCTTTAAAACAAACAACCCTGCCAAAGGCTGTTCTCAAAGCAATAGTTCAAGTTACCTTTCACCAGCATTACTACTCAGCAGGGAGTACACTGTCTGCCAGTGGCCAAAGTGTGCATTTAAAAACTATAACACTATTCTCAGCTAAGAGAATACTGGATATCTGTGGGGGTTTTCCAACAAAAACAAACGGGTAGTAGAAATACATTCAGGGTTCTCTGATCTGTCAAATTCCTAATACTTGATTATTTTTCTTTAAGATAGATTACTGTTGTTTGGTGTTCTGTCTTTCTAAAGCCATTTTTATTAAAATGTCACCCTTTATTCAGGAAGCCAAAAATAAAATGCTACATTTTGTCAGTTTGCATCAGTAAACTGTATAATGGTTTGATTATAACAATGCAGTGGGTTTCCAACATGCAATAGAATTGTAATCACAATTGATAAGAAAAAATTCACTTTTAGACAGTTAGATACTGAATTTTCACTGACACTTTTTGTAACTTAAGATAAGTTTACTGTAATGCATAGTATTTGTATGAAATAGTCAGAGAATTTGACTTTTGTTACTTTGACATGTCAAACTATTATAAACTTGAATCCATCCATTTATTAAAGAGAAGTTTTTTATAGAACAAATCACATGTGTTCTGTTCTTGTCAATTTAAATATTAGATTTCAATTGGTCTTCTTTATATACTATTGCATTATTAAATCTACTTTTATATTTTGGGTTAAAAGTATTAACATGCAAGAGTGAACAAAGTCTTTCCACATGACAATATTCTTTTTAGCGGGTTTTTATTAAACAGAAGCAATACATAACTATATAAACTCTATAAGGTCTTTCAAAAACAATCCATATTCAGTGCCATACCATGATGAAGGGGTGATCACTGGAGAGTTTCAAATTAAACTATTTCAAAAGAGACAACAGAGCAATGGGAACTGATGGTGGGGTACAAGGATGGCTAATGTACAAAAAAAGAGAAACATAACATTTATCAGAAGGTTCACAAAATTTATTCTTATCTAGATATCAAAGAAAAAAAGGAAAGAACAAGAATTTCTTGGACAAACAACTTGCTATGAGATGTTTTTGTGGGAAAATACTAGAAAAGCCAAAAAATTATTGCATCCTGGTACAGTACTGACATTCATCAAAAGCACCTGGCCTCTTCAGCATTCTACAGTGGTACCTCGGGTTACATACTTAATTTGTTCCGGAGGTCCGTTCTTAACCTGAAACTGTTCTTAACCTGAAGCACCACTTTAGCTAATGGGGCCTTCCGCTGCCGCCGCACTGTCACCGCCTGATTTCTGTTCTCATCCTGAAGCAAAGTTCTTAACCCGAGGTACTATTTCTGGGTTAGCGGAGTCTGTAACCTGAAGCGTACGTAACCCGAGGTACCACTGTACTTTGAGATGGAGGGAGAGACACATTTTCATGATGGTATTGGGCAACTATCAACTCCCAATTGAAACACAACAGACCCATATGCAACATACCAAAAGGAATCTAGTCCAACATACACTCCAAGATACAGTGGCAGGTCTCTGGCAAAAAGGATGGACCTTTCCCGCTCCTTTCCTGAAAGGTTAAAAGCAAAAAGCAAGTCAGAAGGAACCAAGAGGAAAATGAGAAGAGTAGAAATTTGGAGAACAGGATGCAGAATGCAAGAGAAACTGTAGGGGGGTGGGGAGTGAAAGTTATAAGTGACAGTTGGAGAGAGTGAAAGGAGCAAGATGATTAGAAAAGAGCAGAACATGGTAAAATAGAGGGCATAAAAAGATCCTCCAGTTCATACACAGAAAAGGAGGATGGGAATAGAAATAAATCAACCCCTGCCTTTAAATAGAGAGGCAGCTATATGATGCATCAGATGCCAGGAAGATGTGAGGGTGGGGGGAGTGGGAGTGGCAGATGAAGCCAGATCATCTGAAATGGGTGAGGGTCCTTGCCTCTCAAGTGAACAAGGCCTTGCACATTCCAGTTGCCTTTTGTCATCCTAACGTCTGATCTCAACCACAGAATGGAACTACCAACTTTTGAACCAGATGGAACAGTTACTTGTCTCCTGCAGCAGAGGGTACATGCACAGCACATTTTAGCACCTCTGAACTGGCCTTTCATTTACTGTGAAGTCACTAAAGCAATAGTGATGTCATCAGCTTTCATAGAAACAGAATACAAATAATTCTTGGATAAATAGTTGCATTTCACTGCCAGATATATATTGTCCTGATCCATGGAAATCTATTCAGTTTACAAGACAAAACAGTGTTATGAGGTTAGTAAAAAACATAGATGCCTAATGATTAAAGTTTTGACTTAATCTACAATTAATAAGATTTTCCTGTCCGTAGACTTTGAAAGGAAAACACCAACTTCAAGCAGAAAGGCCTTCTGAAGAATAATGGAATTTATTAATATGAGTGTGCTAGAACTGTCAGAAAAACTACCTCAGCTAAGAGAAAATGTCAAGAAACTGAATGACAGATTCATGGCTTTGCTAAACATCAACCCAAAAATGCAAAAAGCAAAAGCAGGGACTAAAGGGTACATCAGCAGTGATAACTACAGGTACTTTAAGCTATTTTTTAGAAAAAACCAACAACTTAAGCAGTACAAGGAATTGAAAAACAGGTTTGAAAATAAAAAAGACAAGAAAGATTGCAGCAAAGGGAAACTTGCTGCTTTGCGGAGACTGTTTAAGAGGCTAAGCACCTGGGGAACCCAACATAAAGAAGAAATAGATGAAGATCAGGAACTGATTCCACTAGATTTATTTGATGTTTCCTGTGACACAACATAGGTTATATGAGTTTTCCTTACTCCCCCCCCCTTCTATGCCTAAAAAAATTAAAAACCCATTGAAAAGAACAAACTGTCCAGCTTTTCAATGTTATTAATGTACAGGACCTATTTACTGGGAAAGTGATGATGATCTGGGCTGGCTTTAAAATAAGTTTGAGAGAAATGCTATGAAACATGTGATTAGTGCACAAAAGCGTGGGAGCTTATTTAGTTCAGCAAAGTAACAGGAAGCATGTCCTTTGAAAATACTATCAAGACTGATCACTTAACAGGTAATTTGCATAGAAGTCAGCTTTGCCACCAACACAAAAGGCTGTTTGTGGGGGGAAAGCTCTGCATCCAGCATCTATGCTGCCTGAAGTGTGACCAGTGCTGCTGGTTTGAGTAGCACAATCACTTGGGGGGCTCCATTCACATATTCCTGCCTTCCTGAGAAGCTGTCAGCTTGGATGGCACTGTCATCAGAAGAGGGAGATAGTTCAGAGATTGCAGGAGCAGTCACTCAGCCTCCTGTTACATTTACAGTTTTGTAGTACGTCATTCGCCAGCTTCCATCATAGTTAAAACATTCCTACCACATGTAAACCTTCTATTTAGACTCAGTGTTGCCCTGAGGAAGGGCAGCTTTACAAGCATTAGTTGACACTGCCTGTCATTGGCTCTTTCCACCTCCTGTTGGCTTCTCTGACATCCACCCCACCTGTCCCAATGGGTACCAGCCACCACTGACAACGTGTATGCTTGCCACCCAGAATGGCTGGGGCAACCCAGTCAGATGGACGGGGTACAAATATAACAACAACAACAAATGCACATTTTTACCTTTTTAAACTTTAAGTTATTATGTGTCCAAATATTATCCAACCATTGTTGCAAACCATGATTACATAATTGTTTGGAACTTTGAAATTATTTAAAACAGAGATTTGAAACATTGCAGGTGTCAAAGAATAACTAAGCAGTATTCCTGCAAACAGGAAAAATAAGCTTCCTCTCAGTTCAGTGTAGATAAAAAGACCAGACGCCCACCCAAAGTAGATGAATGTGGGTCCACAGCAGGCTCACCTCTAAAATTATGTCATCAGGATGCACCCTGAGTAAAATGAAGAGACGATCTACATTTTTTTTAAAGCTACAGCATCTTCACAGACAACCACCAGATGGCATATGGAACTAACTTTTCATTCATTGCGGATACAGTATGTACTTGAAATCTGTATCTTACGAATGTCAGAAATCTTTTCAGTCAAATAACTTAGGCAGTCTCCTGTAAATATGCGCTTTCCCCCTAAATCTCTGGGCAGTGCTGTACCAGCAAGTGAGGAAGTCACTGTAAACTCCTTCTCTCCTCATTCCCTTGATTTTCTGTCAGCTGTCAGTCACGCTCATGTAAACAAATTTACCTTGCTTTTCCAAATTATTCAAAATAGGAAGTATGATACAATAAAATTACCTCTTTACATTTTCTTGTAAAAAGCCTAATAGTCTGTTTAATATATCTTATATAACTGCTAAGAAAAAAATCATCAATGTATTTTTAAATGAAACGAAAAATGTATTTATTTTTTGATTACACTTCTGTGTCTAACATAACATGTAATTTGATTACTGAAATGAGCCTTAGGATTTGTTTCCTGTGGCGAAAGGTGGGGGGGAGGGGAATGTAAGCCTAGAAAAAAAAATCCATCATAATTCTTAAGTAGAACTATTTCCATTCGCAAATACAAAGAATTAAAACTATTTTAACTATTGGGATAATTTTTGTGCATATTGGATTTTGACACTGTAGATTCCTTTTCATCAGTCACTAACCTATGCAGTTTTTAAATACAAAACGCAGCAAGAATCAATTATATCCCTTTGCAGCACTCCCAAGTGACCACAAAGTGCAGGGAAAGAGGCTTTGTGCTGGCCAACAGGCAACGGCTTTTTCCATCTGCCTTCAGCCCTAGGAGCCTTCCTAAATTGAAGGGTAGCTTCTCTCTAGCCAATAGATAACGCTACTCAGCTTATATCCTCTTGGCTTTTTTTACCTCGTACTCCATAGAATTACAACATGGTAGAGTTGGAAGGGATGCGGGTGGCGCTGTGGGTAAAACCTCAGTGCCTAGGACTTGCCGATCGCATGGTCAGTGGTTCGAATCCCCGCGGCGGGGTGAGCTCCCGTCTTTCGGTCCCAGCTCCTGCCCACCTAGCAGTTCGAAAGCACCCCTAAGTGCAAGTAGATAAATAGGTACCGCTTTATAGCGGGAAGGTAAACGGCGTTTCCGTGTGCTGCGCTGGTGCCGGCTCGCCAGAGCAGCTTCGTCACGCTTGCCACGTGACCCGGAAGTGTCTCCGGACAGCGCTGGCCCCCAGCCTCTAGAGTGAGATGGGTGCACAACCCTAGAGTCGGACACGACTGGCCCGTACAGGCAGGGGTACCTTTACCTTTTAAGAGTTGGAAGGGATCCTCAAGAGTCTCCTGCAGTGAAGTAAATTTTGTTGCCTTGCTAGTAAAAAAACAACAACCACCGCCTTCTGTGTTTCTCTGTAGTTGTGGTCTCACAAGGATTCTGTGTGTTTTTCACTTTCTGGAGGCAGATGTGGGTAACTGATGTGTTTTATAGAGCCCAGGACAGTGACGGATTTATATAAGCTAAACAAGCTGTAGCTTAGGGCCCCACTCTCTTGGAGGCCCTCAAAAAATTTAAAGGGGAAAAAACTTTGATCAAATACATATTTTGTTATGTACAAATGGCTTTAGATACCTATTAGGTCCATAATACCTATTAGGCCCATCACCTTGCCAACAAAGGTCCGAATAGTTAAAGCTATGGTTTTCCCAGTAGTGATGTATGGAAGTGAGAGCTGGACCATAAAGAAGGCTGATCACCGAAGAATTGATGCTTTTGAATAATGGTGTTGGAGGAGACTCTTGAGAGTCCCATGGACTGCAAGAAGATCAAACCTATCCATTCTGAAGGAAATCAGCCCTGAGTGCTCACTGGAAGGACAGATCCTGAAGCTGAGGCTCCAATACTTTGGCCACCTCATGAGAAGAGAAGACTCCCTGGAAAAGACCCTGATGTTGGGAAAGATGGAGGGCACAAGGAGAAGGGGACGACAGAGGATGAGATGGTTGGACAGAGTTCTTGAAGCTACCAGCATGAGTTTGACCAAACTGTGGGAGGCAGTGGAAGACAGGAGTGCCTGGCGTGCTCTGGTCCATGGGGTCACAAAGAGTCGGACACAACTAAACGACAACAGGTCCAGAATTTACCACATAGCATATATTCAACACAAAAAAGCGACAATTTGCTGTTGACAGCTGGACATATAAAGGGTCCCATTACCTTCAGTAGCTTAGGGCCTCATCAAACCTAAATCCGGCCCTGGGCCTGGAGGTATGTCATACTGAGTGTTACTGTGCTATAGGAGATCAGAGGCGCTTCGCTCTGACCTTGGTGGTGGTTCTGCTGCTGCTGCTAAGCCATGGTTTGCTTCAGGGAGTCATCCAAACTTGGGCTCTTCGGGGGTTGTCATTTACAACTGCGAGGGAGGGGAGGCTGAGAGAAATCCCTACGAGGCCTTTACAGCTGGGTCATCCTAGTCCACCCCTCGTCCCCACACCACGCCCATGTTTCGCGCTTTCGTTTCGGAACTTTTCAAATTCACATGCCCGCCTTTCCGCAGACGATAATAAAAGTCCATATAACATGAAGATTTCTTTCAGAAGAAGCAGCAGCCGTCGCGGCTTACTTGCGAGAACGCCCCGCAATTTTCTGGCCAGCCTTATTATGAAACACTTGCGGCAGCCTTGCCACCATGAACGTGGCTGGCCCGCCAACCGCCCTCGTTAGTCTTTAATTGCTGCTGGTTTATCCTGAGGGGCTCCTCCCCCCGCCCCGCCCCGCCCGCCATTAGGCGCCATCAAACACCCTGACGCGACGACGTTCGTGGCGGGAGCAGGACGCGGGAACGCGCGCGCGTGGCTGCTGGTTGGGAGGTGGGGGAGGCTGAGAGCGGAGGGAAGCGGCGCGCTCCCGCGCAGGCGCGCGCGCTGCTCCGTGACCCATCTCACTGAACAAAGGATTCCTTACTCGAAATCTCCTCTCCAGACCTAAAATGGCGCCGGCCCTCTCTCTCTCCGAGCACCATAGAGATAGAGGAGGGGCCATACAGGGGAAAGGAGGGGGAGGGAGGAAAAAACCCGGGCGGACGGCAGAGACGGATGGGTAGAGCGGCCGCCTTCGTCTGCGCGAGAGGCCTCTCTGCGCAACTCAGGCTTTAGGGCTCTGTGGTTTAGCTGCGGCGGTTGGTCGGCCGGGAGGAGCCTGGCAAGCGGGGTTGTTATGGCGGGCGAGGAAAAGGTCGGGGACGCGGAGAAGGTAAATGAGCTGGGAGCGGAGGCAAGGCGCCGCCGGCGAGCTCCGCGGTGGCTGCTTATGGCCTCCCTAGTGTTCGTTGGCTGTGTGGACGGAGGAAGGGGCTGCGGCTTCTCTAACGGGAGCGGCTTCTGTGCCGTCAGAGCAGCGCGCGAACCGCCTCGACGTGACGGGGCTCGCAGGGCTCGTGGAGCCAAGTGTTGCCTCCCCAGCAGCGGACTCCCGCTAGCCGGGTAGCCTTTTTTCTGTTGGCCCTCCCCTTCCAGCAGGTACACGGCCTCTGAGCGTGGAAGCTCTATCCGTCGCGCCTTATCGCCCTGATAGACCGCTCCTTCCCTAGGAAACCGAGCCTCGCTTCAAACCACTTAATGCCCGATATATTTCTGAGTCCACATAACGCGTCGCACGGACGTAAGTGGACCATAATACTCGTTTTGTTTACTCAGGTTCCTTTGTCGCAATCGCTGGCATTTCTTTTCTTTTCAAAAATACTAATCATTTAAAATGGTTTTTAATCCTGCCTTCATCTTCGAGGAAACCAGAGGGGTATACTGAAGACATGACAACCGTAGCTCCAAAGAAATTTTGATCCATTGTTTTATGCCCTGACCCTGAATGTTTGGGCAGACAAGTGGAGGCTTTTCTAGCTGAAATCCAATGCACACTTACATGGAAGGAAGCCTCATTGCGCTCAGTGGGTTTACTTCTGTGTAGACGTGTATAGGATTGTGCTATAAATGGAACCTTTGCTATTGGAAGAAAATGTTTTCCTTTAGAGCAGATGCATCTATAGACCTGCCAGCTTGCTGCAGCCAGAGTAGAGGAAGGTGGGGAAAAGAATTTTTCCTCCCATTGTAATGGTTCAGACCAATTTTGTGAGCATGTTGGGTGGAGGTGGGCAAAGCACTCTTTATGGAAGCTTCAGATCTACGACTCTCCCAATACAACCCCAAAATGCCTTGTTTAGACCTGCACTGCTTGTGAGACATCTGCGCTTTCCATTTTCCAAGGGGCCTCAACAGCTTAATGTTGTTTCACCTGGAAACTTCTCTCCAGCTGTACAACAGCGCTCACAGTTTCCTATTGCCGCCCCCCCCCCCCCGCAGCGGGCCTTCAACTGGTTGTAGGATTGCAGCATTAACTTCTTCCCCCGCCCCATGCAGTGTTACCTCTACTTATGTTCGCCTCCGGTTACGTATCCCTTACTAAATGCAGGTAAAATAAAAATGCCAAATTTAGAGCACTCTTGTATTTTTAAAAAAATGGTGATGCAAAGTGGAAATTTGTATAGGATTTTCTTCCACTGCATCATATGGTGCTGAGAATTCAATAGAATCAGCATGCGCTCACTCCTGTCAAAACTCCAGGAAAGACAGGAACCACGGCAATGTGGAGCCTTCCAACTCAGAAGGATGGCTCAGTGTCACTGATCAGTGCGTCAAATCCTGAGAAATTGAGCAGGATCAATATGGTCATGCTGCACTATCCAAACTCAAGTATCCCAAGGTATGGTCTGAAGGTATATGAGGCCACCATGAAGAGATAGAGGGGGGATATCAATGTAAAAAAATATACAAAAATCAAGCATAGCCGTTTATATACCACTTTGGGAATGATTTTGCCTTCAGGTGGATGGTAGCTGCAAAAGATCAAGGTGATTTGATGTATGCTTTGTCCATTGGTATGAGAATGACAATGAGAATAATAGAATAACTTTTCAACAACTTCACCCCACCCCTTTAAAAAGCTACTGGAGAATAATGTAGTAAGATAAATTAGTTTCAATGCTTGTGTCCTTTTCTAGTCTTTTGGCCCAGTGGGAAAACTACATGTTTTTTTTCTTTTTGCTCTACATCACTATTAAAGGGACAGGAATCATCTACTGTACTAAATGCAGCACTTCAGAAGGTTCTGTACATAACCAATGCATTGTTTAATGTGATATATTTAATTTCTTTCAAGTCTTTTAAGCTACTGGGAATACTTGACGTCAGAAATGTCCCTTGTGCTCGAGAATCAGTGCTCTATGGCTCATTGGGTGGTCTAACTTTGGGTCTTGGACACTTTTTGGCAACTAGTAAGTAAAAGTAAATCTGCAGATATTTCTTTTTATATGTAATATTTTCTTTGTTTCCATTCTCTCTTTGTTTCCATTCTCTCTTCTGGTAATACTTTGCTCCATGCAGCAATTAATACAGCGCAACAGCTGACATAAAATGTTGCTTGCTTCCTCTCTAAAAACCCTTCCCAGCAAAGGTGTACATACAGCACAATCAGTCTCCAAAACATTGCATACCAATTGTTCTTTAAAGTTCTTGGGGTATTCATAAGCATACCTCAGCAGCTGAGAATAATTAAGAGGGTTCCTTTCTCTTTTTTTAATACAGTGGTGCCCCGCAAGACGAATGCCTCGCAAGACGGAAAACCCGCTAGACGAAAGGGTTTTCCGTCGCGGAGGCGCTTCGCAAGACGAAGTTCCCTATGGGCTTGCTTCGCAAGACGAAAACATCTTGCGAGTCTCGCCATTTCCCCCCCGCTTTTTTCCCCCTTTTTCAAAGCGGCTAAGCTGTTAATAGCCTTTTAACAGCTTAGCCCCTAAGCCGCTAATAGCGCTAAATCGCTAATAGCGCTAATCTGCTTAGCCGGCAATGGGGTTGCTTCGCAAGACGAAAAAACGCTAGAAGAAAAGAATCACGGAACGGATTCTTTTCGTCTTGCGAGGCACCACTGTAATAGTTTTTATTAGTTTCAATTAAAGGTAAAGGTAAACAATAATAGCCTCATTATAACAATACCGATTTATAAGAGGGTTCCTTTCTTTTGCAGCCAGTAGTTCTAGAATCTAGTCTTTGTCTTGTTCAACAGGCTGCACTTCCTCCTTTATTCACCTTTTGTCAAATTTTATGAGGTTAGTACATATGTCAAATTACCCCAAATTTTCTGTAGTTCATTCTGTTTTATGTGTTGTCTCATTGGTTTGTGCAACCATGGTATCATAAAGATTATGCAAAGCCAACTCTATCTTCAGAAATAGTTGGCTAAATACTTCTAAAATACATTTCCTACGTTGTTTTTCTGTTAGTTCCTTTTCTTCTTGTCCAATTGTTATGTTGTCTACATAACTTACAAACGAACAAACTTCTTTTCTGCCTAGGCAGAGTGAGACGATCCTGTGACTTTGGAGTGGGAGGTTTTATCCTGACAACATTAGGATGTTGGTATGTATGTTTCTGAAATTCTCAGACTTGTGTTGAAGATGTGAGCGGATAGGCTTTTGGGTGGATTCTTCCTACAACCCTAGGAGCCAACTCCTAGGAACCTATGTCCCTTTGCGCACCCCCTAAAATATTTGAGGGAACCAGGTCCCCTAAAGTTGATGGGCATTGTCATTCAAATGATGTGTGCCATGCCTTATGAATAATTATGCAGCATGGGGCTTACCTGAGCCCACCCAATATTTTACTCAAGTTGGCACCCCTGCCTACAACTCAGCACATGTAATCACACTAGTGTACCAGGCTATTCCTGGAAATATTACTTATTTGCACCTTCTGCACCCTACTCCAGCTGTCCATTGCTTGGGAGGGGTCTTTAAATAATATGGTGGTACAGTATAACAATCCAAATTCACATCCAGTATTTTCACTGATGCAGCCGATATGGCAGACTCCAATGTTGCATGAGTGGACTTGTTTCTGCAATGGAACATTGCCTTCATCTACTTTCTGCAGACTCTACATATCTCCCCCAAGTGCCTTCTCTCCCAAGCAGATTTTGTGGGCATTGTTATTTTATTAAATTTGTATACTGCCCTTCATCCACAGATCTCAGGGTGGTTCACAACATAAAAAGTTTTTTTATAACCCCAAATAATAATGAGCAAAAAGACCAACCACCAATAAATCTCCCTCCCATCAGCACTTTTAAAAGGGTATAAGATGTTCATCAGCCAAAGGCCTGGTTGAAGAGGAATTTGTTCGCCTGTTGTCTAAATGTGCATAATGAAGGTGCATATAGTGGATTGAGAGGACGTGAGGAAAGTGAAGTCCTATTGTGCAGGCAGAAGCCTGTTCCCTTTGTACAAAGCTTTCTTTAACTTTTCTCTATGTGCACATCTATTCCATTTTTTTGTTTGCAGAATACAGTTACTTAAGAAAAAGTTGTGTAAAGCATTTCTCTCTTCTTCAAAGTACAGGCTGGTTCAATACTATACCATCTGAATAAATACTGGGAGTTCTTATTTAAAATAGGATGGGGATCATTCATTATTTGTTGCCTTTTCTTTATTGAGGGTCTATTGTAGATACAATAATGCGAAACTAAGGATTCAGCAACGAATGGTTCAAGAAGGGATGAGAAAGAAAATTTTGTATGAAAGCACCCAGTTTGATCCAGAGAAAAAGAAAACTGAAGAAAGCCGTTCTTGAAACAGCACTTGGTTGTGAACATTTCTAAGCACAATACAAGCCATGGCTCGTTTGCTGAGCATTAGGAAACAGTTCAGTTGACTGCCCTGAAGCTCCAAATTGTATTTTTCATTTATTCCCACTTTCAAATCAAGGGTGAAGCATATGTAATCTGATTTACTTTCCTTGGGGAAGGGGCACTTGATGTTTAACCCAGGATTCTAGAGCAGCACAAGGTAACCATGATGCTTGTAACTTCTTCACAATGTCTTAAACTAGTGGTGAGCTGGAAGCAATTTGAGTTTGCAAGGTTGCTCAATAATGTTACAACTAATCTAAAGTTGCATACAAGCATCTTTTTCCTCAATAAAATATATCACTTGCATCATGTTCTTTCATTAGAA